GCAAGACCATTCCTTTGGTGAAGGTTTTGTGGAAACATCACGGAGTGGAGGAAGCCACTTGGGAATGTGAGTTGGAAGTTCGCGAGAAATATCCGGACTTATTTGTTGATGTGTAACCATGTATTGGTAAATTTGTAATATCATTGAACTTTAAGGGCATTATATGTGTCTTAAGTTGTAAAACATTGTGAATGTTTTGATTAATGGAAGTTTGTTTTAACATTGCGTATGCTAAGTATATTGTGGAAATGCAAGCATGATGTTAATGTTGCATGTATTATGGAATTATGGAAAATGAGTTGAAATTGGTAAATTTCAAAAGAATGCATGTTGATAGTGTAGGTTGTTATGTATAATGTGTTATGCCTCTTGAAAAGAGATGGGATTGACCGGTAACGGGTTGGATTGTTTAACATTATGTTGTAATATTGTTGGGAATGGAGAAAACTTGTATTTAATTTCGGGGACGAAATTCTTTAAGGGGGGAAGGTTATAGTGATTCTGGTATTCCCTTTACTGTTCTGTTGCATTCCGGACTCGGTTCCGTGGAGTTGGTAGTTGTGTCTACCTTGTTGTCATCCTTTAATTCCATTTGATTGAGTTTTAGGATGTGTTGGACATGTTTCGAGCAGGTGGGTTGAGCCTTGGTCTAATTTCTTGTTGCCAGGTTTTTGGTCTTTCCACTCGAGCAGGTCGTCTAGCGCTCGAGCGGAGATTGCACACTCCCTGTATTTTCGTTGTCTGCAAAACTTCTGCAGGTGTGTTTTCTACGCTCGAGCGGGTTTACTGCGCTCGATAGGGCTTGTTGGCGCTCGAGCGGGTAGTACATTTTTGGTGTAAGTTCTTGGAGGGGGAAATCTACGCTCGAGCGGACTGGTTTTCGCGCTCAAGCGGATGTACTTTATTCTTGTGTCTTGGCGCTCGAGCGGGCCTTCTTGCGCTCGAGCGGAACTAGTTTTTTGTTCTTGACGCTCAAGCGTTGTGTTTTCTGCTCGAGCGAGAATGTCGTATAACAGAGGGCAGCTGGGCATTTTTGAATCATTTTCTACACTTCCTCTCTCTCTCTTACTTTTCCAAAACGCCATTTGAGATCTTCTCTCTCTAGAAACTCCCTTCTCTCTAGGGTTTGATCTAGTTAGAGTGCTTCCCTCTCATTTGGCCTTTGTAAAAGTTGTGTTGATCGTCGAGGGCTTCGTTTTGATCCGTGGATCTTGGAGTTTGGAGCATTTTGGTTTTCTTCATCCTCTTCTCTTGGGCTCCGAATTTGAGGTAGGGATTCCTACTCACTCTTATGGTCTTTGACATAGATTTTTGGTTGTTTTGATAAAGTGTTGAAGTTGGGTAATTTGGGGACTTAGGGTTTCAAAATGTTAAAAGAGGATTTTGTTATTTTGATTCTAAAATGTGTATTGTGGGTTTCAAAATAATGACATCGTTGTTGGTTGTTAATATATAGACCATTGGGTCAATATTGAGAAATGGGGCCAAAACCCTAATTGGTGGTATAAATTAATTGGTATGATTAATTTGGGAAAATTGTGGTTATACGGAATTGAGTTGGAAATAATAAAATTGGCTCATTATATAGTATAATAGTGGAGTTGGATTTATTAATCGCTCACTTTTGAAAACATTGATATTTTATATGTTGGAGCTTTTATTATCTGTTTAGAAATAATTGCTTGGGCTACCGGTAGAGGGTAGTTTTGATTGTTGTAGACAATGCATGATAATTAGGCAAACTAAAACTAATCAATTGGATATGCCATAGAGTATGACGGTTGATAGAATACATTAACGTTATGTATTGATTGATTGTGTATATGACCTATGTGTATATACGTTGTGTGTGTGGGAGGAGATATGGGATGTACTCCATGGTTTAGGGGAAGATAGGGGATGGATCTCTAAACCGGATGTTGTTTGGGAGGAGATAGGGGATGGACTCCACTGATACAGCTCACATGCTTGTCAGTTAACGTGTTGTTATAGCTTATATGCTTATCTATGGAAGTGTTGATACAGCTCATATGCTTATCTTTGGAAGTGTTGATATAGCTAATATGCATATCTGTTGAAATATGGATACAGCTTGTATGCTTATCTGTTGAGATGTTGATACAACTAGTATGTTTATCTATTGTAAAATGGGAAACGTTTAATATGAGTTACTGTCTCATATAAGTGGTTGGCCAGGTTCTGAGCCGTTGATGTAAATTGTGAAATTGATAAGAAATGGAAACTGAAATGAAACATGAACATAGTGGTCATGAAATGGAAATGGGTTATGAGTTGATTTATGGGAATTGAACATTTATCAATTGCTAATGTCTTAGTTATTGTTCATACTGTGTTTAGCATATTTCTACTGGGCATTGGCTCACCCTATATGGGACATTATTTTCAGGTACAGGTAGTATGCCACCTCCAAGGACATAGCTTGGATGATGATGAGAGTTGAAGACTCTTTTTGTTTATTTTGTTTGTATTACATCTATATCAAGCCAATGGCTTATTTTGTATAGAGTTAGTACTCTTCTTTTGTGTAACCAGGTGTTGACTTGGAAGCTGTAAGCCCATAGGGCATTTGCTTTTGTTGTTAACATGTAATACTGTTGTAAGAACTAATCTGATGAATATAAATGGTTGGTTTCTTTTATATCAATGCATGTCTAAAGTGATGGATTTTATGTATTATTTTGAGGGCGTTACAGTAACTCTTAGCCAGGGAAGAATTGACAAGAATGATGACTCCCAATTGGCTAAAGTTGAGAAACAAGTCATTGAAATTCATGCCCTTTTGGTCTAAGGCCACAAGGACACAAGGCAAGATGAGGATGAGAAACGTCTAACCAAAGTGGAGAATCAAGTTGAAAAAATTCTTGAGCTGTTAGAAAAACGCATGCCAGTTGATGGAGAACAAGTTAAAACACCACCAAGCAAACTACTTGCGGAGCAGCGACTGGTCAAAATGGAGAACCAAGTTGGTCAAATTCTTGGTTGTTAGAATGACGCATTCCATGTGATGGTGGACATGTTAAAACTCCACCAAGAAAACTACATGAGGAGCATCGAATTGACATTGAAATGGTTGGTCTCGATGATAGTGGTATCGAAAAGGTTGCAGCCAATTCCCCGAAGTTTGTAGATGAGAATGAGATAAGGAATATGAATGACAAAGAACCAATGGAAACTTTGCGTTTGAGAAAAACAAAACCAATCCTCACACCACCAAATGCAAAGGCAGTTGCAAAGAAACGAGCCAAATTGGTTGGTGGGAAAGCATTAAATAATGAACAACTTTCTATTCCACAAAAGGGGCGATCGCGCGCAAAAAAGAGCGATTCAAAGGCAGTTGAAGTGAATGCTATAACAATGTCATCATCATGTAGTGTTGTTCGTGGTCCTCAGACTCGAGGGACCCAAAATTGCAAAGCCAGTCAGTGGTTGCGTACACCTTTTGTGAAATTTGATGTAATGAAGAAAAGACCACAATTGAAGCCATCGTCAACTGACAACAACTTTGACAATAATATTTATGACAATCTCGATCAAGTAAACTAAATGATTGTGTCTCAAAACATATTTGATATATGTGTAACAAATAGTGTTTGTTTCTTACTTTTCTTTTACTTGTATCAGCTATTTGATAATTTACTTGATCAACTTGGGGGTAATGTTGTTCCTGAAATCCCAAAGGTTTGGAACTAACTATTATAGTATCTTTTGTATATGTGGTTATTTTGTGCTAACTCCATCTTCATGAACATACACTGACCAAGCTTGATTTGTTTTATGCACTATTCTTCTCAATACCTTTACAAGTCATCCGTGCCTTTGCCAGACCCATTAAATGACTATGACAGTCTCGTTCTACGATATGCATTTGATGAATCTCTTTCAGAAGGGTACAATTTGACTACCTTTAACTTGTTATATGTAAAGTACTATACCTTCTAACTCACATAGTTATCCATGTGCTAGGGAATATCTTGTACAGATGAAACTGCACTACGTGGAAGCACAATCTGCAACGCGGAAGGAATTGTGGTCCGTGAAACCATATCAGTGGATATCCTCATGTGTAAGACTTTTCTCCTTCTCCTATTTTATTTGCTACCATTCCATCATCCAAGTTACTTTTCTTTGCCTATTCATAAATTTCATATATTTTGCACTGCAGATTATAAATCTCATTGTTGTGAAATTGACAAATAAACAAAGGAAAAAGTTTCCAAATAAGGATCACAAGGTTTGGTACTTTCCGACCCACGTATCAATAAGTATTAGCCATACCTAAAGACTTTTTTTATTTAGGCACAAGTTATTTATATGTTAAAATTAAATATGCAACAAAAGATTTTGTGTCAACCTTCTGATGACACAATGAAAGATATAGTAGAAGATTATTTTGGAATTTACAGATACACTGGCCCCCTTCATGCTTGTGAGGAGGTAACATGATAAAATACTACTATTATCCAATTTCCAAATTTACCATGCACAATAACATTTGATCCATGTTATGTATTTATTTATTTTTTGCATGTACATTCGACGTTATATTTTTAGATTTACATGCCCTTCAACCATGGGGAAAACCACTGGTTGTGCTTGAATGTAAACATGGAAAAACGGGTTGCCTATCTATTCGACTCTAGCAGATATACTGACACTGATGAGGATCGAAAAAATCAAGCTACATTGTTGGTGATAGAATAACCATTATGATACCACTTGTATCCACTTTTTTGTTTCTTGATCTATGTACCTTACTACCTACCACCAACAGGTACAATCATTGCATAAGCTGCTTCAATATGCGCATGGAGAAGATTATGTTCAAGATGTTAGTTCGTTTGCATTTCAATGGTTGGAAGACATGCCACGCCAAGACAACAGGTAATACACTACATTATCGTTCTTAATTTTTAAATAAGCATTAATGTTATAATCTCTAAGTTCGTTGACTCTATTGTTACAACTACACTCATTCCTATAACTATGATTGTGGTCTTTTCGTCATCAAATATATGCAAGGGAAACCTTTGCCTTCGGGTGTAATCAAGGTACTTACATTTATACCCAACTGTCCACTTATCAGTATCTTATGTTTTATGAAGACTAATTTTATAATGTGTGATGTTTTTAGGTACTCACTACTTTTGGCATGTAGTTTGACTATTTGCATAGGGCTCGCTTGTTACTTGATCTTGTGATATTCAAGCATAATTCAGCTCCTATTGTTGGTGATATCGCACAATATAAAGCTGGTGATGCTCTATTCTTTTTTATTTTTCATAAGTTCGTACAATCAATGACATTATCGTATTTCTTAAACTCATGAACTTTGAGTTTATAACTCAACCTTTGTTATAAAATTATATTCTCAAGTGTGCTATCTTGTGCAGAACTCAGAGCTAGAAGTGAATTGAAATGGAAGTAGAGGCTAACATGAGCTAGAAATTAGATTTTGTTAGTGAGACCTATGATGGTATGTCTGTTTTGAAATACTTAAACTAGCATGAGTTTTGCAGATCTTATTGATGTTTGGAATGGATGGAGGCATTATCAATACATCATTACCAACTTCATACTGACTTTGTTGGTCATTTTATTAAGATAGTGCCAACCACTATTTATAGAATAAAAGACACTACAAGAAAAAGAGGATACAACGACGTTTTTTTTTTTATGACGTTTTTTCAAAAATGTTGTGAAATCTGTCCAGATTTTTCAGATTTGTAATGTAGCCAAGGGGTGTTGACTTTTCCAATTTGTCAAATTATACTTAATAATTTTTGTACCTTCATCTTGTCTACTTCTCTGGGATAGTTGTTGTACAAACAAATATGAGTTTGCTCAGTTAAAGATACAATTTTTTTGCTACATCCTCTATCATTCGTTTTTGTTTTACTTTACTAAGTGCTTTGAGATAGCATTGTTGTAGGCTTCTTGCTCAGTTAAAGATACAATTTTTCGTTCTTTGATTAATGTGAGATATTTTATTATATATGTGATGTAATGACAAAGAATCTTTCATAACCATTTTTATGATATTTTTTTATGATCCCTATCATTACTTTAAATTGTTTAAATAAATTCACTCCTTTGCCATTTGGTTGACAATGCAGGCCGTAGTAGTTAGGTTGAAAACTTGAACATTCATTTTTCTGAATCTCTAATAAATTATAGTTTTATGAATTCTAATAAATTATAAATTAAATTAGATCTATACATATGATAACGTGAATCACAATCTTATATGGATAAGATATGGGGGCTTACATATAGATATGGAAGCAGCTGGTAATTTAGGTTCCCTTTATTTTAACGCAAAACGTTTAAATATTTGTTTGCTATTTGACTAAATAAAAAGTAAGTAAAATATTTTTTAAGCAAAATATTTTTGTATCATTTTTCAAAAAATGACTTACCTTTTAAAATTTTGTAAGTTAATTTTTATAAAATTGATTCTCACTCACTATTTTTTCAACACTTTTTTACTATTTTCAAATAAATATATTAACTCACTAAAAAGTCATGAATTACACTTTATTAAATCATAATTTCTAAATTAAGTAATAAAATATATTTTTTTAAGTGTTAACCAAATGCCGAAAAATAAAAACAATATTTTTGTATATAAAATCGATGCATTAAAAAAAATATTTTACGTAGAAACAAAAATATTCTTTCCATTTATACCATTAATCACATCCAAATAATATTGCAGAGTTTTTCTTCTAGTGTTCGTCAAGTCCATACAACTATATATTCAATTCAACTCTTTTGATGAACCTGGACGGAAGATCGACAATATTGAAAAGTGAGTTACTACTGCAAGGTAGTGTAGGATTTCTTACAACCTCGTTTGGTGAATGATAATTCCTTACAAAATTCTTTCTTCAAGAAAAAAAAGAAGTGTGCATACAAACTATGAACTTCCATACAGCAAAACAAATATCATCAACCATCATTTAAGAGTATTTATACAAAATACTAATAGATTTAAGTTCTCAAAAAAAAAATTTAAAAAAAAATCTTAGTTTAGCTCCCAATATCACCCACTCGATCATATCAACTATTACCCACAGCAACACCTGCAGAAACAAATTATATTGTCGTTAAGGTTTGTTCACTTGAAATCTATGATTCAAATCATAACAAATTGAATTTTGATATGTGTTTCTGTTTCCTAACCAATGCTTTGGTATCAATTATACGCAAATAATAAAAAAAACACACTTGTACATACCCTACTATCAATTAAAATAAAATAAATAAATAAACACACCCGCAAGTATAACTTTATACACAGAACATCTTTTTTTCTTAAGACTTCAATAAAAGATTATTTTGGAAACAAGGAATAATTCATTATGATTTAAGGCATAAGAAACTTCGGAATTCTGGACTAAATCAAAGGAAAAACTGGTTAAGAGGTCTTTATCAATACCATTTATCTCAAATTAGATGGTCTAGATTAATAGCAACAAAATGGAAAAATTGAATCAATCAATGTCGTATAATTCAAAATCAATATTTAAACAAAGACAATTAATATGAAAACGACCTATTAATTCGTTACAAAAAACAAAACGATTACGAAGTATATTATTACCAAATCAAAATGAGAATTTTCAAAAATACTACAGATATAATCTTTTATCTTATAGATCTATTAATTATGAAAATAAGAGGGACCCATATATTTATGGATCACCATTCCAAGTAAATAAGAATCGAGAGAGTTCTTATAATTACAACACACATAAACATAGGGGCAAATTTTTTGATATACTAAGGGATATCCCCTATCAAAAATTATTCAAGAAAAAGTGATATTATGTATATGGAAAAAAATCCATATCGAAAATATTGTGATTGGAAAATTCTCCATTTTTGTCTTAAAAAGAAAATCAATATTGAGGCCTGGAAGCAATTATTATTTATGTAGAATCACTTGAAAATAAAATAAAATAAGCACTCTAGAGGATTCATGCTTCGTCTGTGATGGGTGGGTGAAGGCAAAAATCTCAGTATAGAATTTTCAAATGTTTATGAAATTTAATGAATTTACTTGAACCAGACTCTCTTGTGATGTTTTTTCCCTCTAGAGTTCTTTCTTTTCAAACATGTACATTTCTTCTCTACTCCCTCAAAATTATGTTTATTTTTCTCTTGGCTGGGAAGCAAAAGTATAAATTCAGAATTTCCAGACATTTACATGTCATTCAACAAATTTGAGTTCAACCAAAAATGAATTCAATCTTTCTCTTGTGACGTCATCTCCCTCTTAAAAAAAAACAGTACACCCGCAAGTATCCTACAATCAATTAAAATAAAAAAAACAAAATAAAAACACAACTGCCAGTGCCCTGCTATCAATTCAAAGCAAATAAATTCAAAAAAAACAAAAGCAAGTAGCCTACTATCAATTAACATGAAACAAATAAATAAAATAGCACACCCGCCAGTACCCTGCTATTAATTGCAAACAAACAAACAAAAAAATACCGCACACCCGCAAGTATCCTACTATCAATTAAAATAAACAAATAAATAAAAAAACACACCCATCAGTGCCCTGTTATCAATTCAAAGCAAATAAATTCAAAAACACAAAACCAATTACCCTACTATCAATTAACATGAAACAAAATAAAAAAAAAATAACACACCCGCCAGTGCCCTGCTATCAATTAAAATAAACAAATAAACAAATATATACATCTTAAAGAATTGATCCATCAACAATATTAAAACCACATACATATATACATCTTGAAGTGTCTTTTGATGAACCTGGACGGAAGATCAACAATATTGAAAAGCGAGTTACTACTACAAGGTAGTGTACGATTTCTTACAACCTCGTTTGGTGAATGATAATTCCTTACAAAATCAGTCATGCATTATTTTCCATCTCTTCCCTTAACAAAATTGTTTCTTCAAGAAAAAAAAGAAGTGTGCATACAAAATATAAACTTCCATACAGCAAAGCAAATAGCCATCAACCATCATTTAAGAGTATTTATACAAAATACTAACAGATTTAAGTCCTCAAAAAATTAAAAATATATATATATATATATTAGTTTAGCTCCCAATATCACCCGCTCGATCATATCAACTATTACCCACAGCAACACCTGCAAAAATAAATTATATTGTCGTTAAGGTTTGTTCACTTCAAATCTATGATTCAAATCATAACAAATTGAATTTTGATATATTGGTCATTGCACACTCTTTTGTCATTTTTTGTTCGTAAATTATTTATTTTCATAATCAAGTTGTAAACATCATAATTACTTATGACATATCAATGTTCTAGCTAAAATCTATCTTGGCATATCAAGAAATTAGAATTAAGCAGACACACATAAAATTTGCAAAGCAAATGTAAGCAAAATGAACATAATTTGAACTAAAAAGATGCCATAAAAGTAATCACCTAGAGACGTATCCGCATCAGTGAACGCTGAATTTTGGACGACTTGTGCATCGCAACTACGCAAGTCATTAACATCCTTGCTCAACTGCACTGGAGACGTATCCACTTTAGTGACAAAAAGTCGTCGCTTCACAGGGTGGGTCTTACATGGCCTCATATTATTCCTGGGACGCTTCAGTGTAAAAGGGGTGGGAGTACCAATTAATTGGATCATAATCATCGTATTCCTCAAACAAATTGCTACCCACTTGTCCCGTTTTATGATCGTTTTGGGGGCAAGTTCTCCTTGTGTGGCCGACGACCCTACATTGTCAAGTAAATCACCAATCATTAAAGAGAACAAAAATGCCAATACTACCTCACAATAACAAAATTAAGACACAAAGCACAATATAATGTATACCTGCAACATTGACATCGCCTTGGCTTTCGAGGTTTAGCCATGTAGGATCCCCAGTATTCCCCTTCGTGTTCACTACTTTCAGATCCCCAACCCCAAATGGCGGCAATGAACTTTTCCTTCATCAACATTAGTTCCCTTGGCCATGCAAAGCTACTTCATCCGACATGTCATAGTGAAAAATGCATTCCTAGCCTCTTCAAATCCTTCAGATGTTTGTGAGGCATAGTAACACATTTCAGTAAAAGAAGAGCAAAGAACCCCAAAACGTGTCTCCTGTGTGAGAGTGCTAGAGAATTGGGCTTGGCAATGTTGTTCACCAACCTTTCTTGCTTGCTTTGTCCAACGATGCATCACACAACTTGGGGGAATTTCAGTCATGTGTTCACATTTCATCACAGAAATCATGTGGCTGCAAGGAAGTCCAAAGAACTCAAACTTTTTGCAACTACATTTCATTATGCTAGTTGCGGGATGGTATGACACTTCCCATGTGGAACCAAATTTAGTGTACTTTGAAAATTTGTATATGCGATGATCGAACTCCTCTTTCCTTCCATCAAAAATCAACAATGCTTCCTCAATTATTTCATTACAGAACATAAAGAACAAACGTCTGGTAAAGATGGTTGCTGCATGTTTCTCTAGAGGCTGAAGTGATGTGGTAAGACAAGGATCATTGTTGTCAGTTTTTGCCTCAGCATCCGCTTCTTTGTTCCGTAATCGATAAAGGGCCATGTCAAAACATCTAACAAATTCGAATAGTTTCAATTTTCGTTTGAGGCGCTCATTGAAAAAAGCATGCATACCCTCACAACGCTGACTGCTCTTCATTCCAGCAAAAAACTGACCACGCAAATATGAGTAAGCCCACATGCCTTTGTTGTTGTAGGTGTCTGATACCCACTTGTTATTTTGAAGGCCATATTTTCTAACCATCTTACTCCAAGCTTCCTCAAATACAACCTCATTCGCATCAAGATCCATGAGATGCTTGAAATGTCCCTCGAATCCATCGACTCGAACATTTCGCTTGGCATTTCTGTGCATATGCCAATTACATAGACAATGCTTGGCACTTGGGAAGACTTTTTGTATTGCCTCATGCATGGCCATATCCCCATCTGTCAACACTGACACCGGTCTTTTGTTATCCATGGCCTCTAACAACTTTTGCAAAACCATGTGTATGTTGCAATTGTCTCATCAACAAGCAAGCTGCATGCAAATATGGTGGTTTCAAAATGGTTATTGACCCCGGCGAACATAACAAAAGGTTTGTTATATGCATTTGTTTTATAAGTTGTATCGAAGACCAACACGTCACCAAATGCAGCATAGTCTAGGCGAGACCTTGAATCTGTCCAAAACAATTTGTCAAGCCGATTCTCTTGATCCTTGTCATAGTTGTAAAAGAAGTAAGGATCACCATCAGCTTTTGCACATAAGTAAGCCAAAGCACACTCCGCATCACCATCCTTCATTTCTACTTTGCGCTCGGCTTGAATATAATTGTGCAAATCCTTGTGAATAAAGCCCACATTCGCGAAAGACCCAGATTATTACACCAACAAATCCATTATCTGGCTTGTCTTGACACCAACATCGTGCAAAGTCTTTACTTGAGCTTTGTCGGGGATCTTTACAAACCTATGCGACCGAAGAAATGGCACACATGGTGATGTTGCCAATGGATGGTTATGTTCCATGTTAAAGTGAGTGACAATGTATTTTCCTACATCCAGATTGTACCTTATGTGGAAATGAGCATCACAACCAACTCTAGTCAATGCCCTGGCAGCTCTTTTTCGATCAATACGGGCCAAGTGTTGCTTTGCTCTTTGGCCTTGCCTTGAGCATACCCATTTTCTACTAAGAACCTTTGTTGCCTGCATTGTTCGCGTGTCTTTCCTAATGCTAAATCCCACAACTTTAGCATATTGATTATAGAAATCATTGGCATCCTCTTCTGAATTGAATTGCATTTCAAGAACATCATTGTTGGTTAAACTTTGAATAGGGTCATTTGCATGGGAACCTAATTCTTCTTTATTCCCACAAACTTCGTCATCTTCAAGCTTACGCTCAAATTTGGTACATCCAAAAGGATCCATGATAACTACATCAAAAACAATACGAAAAGAATAACATTATCTTATAAAATGAATGAAAATTCCTAAAATCACATAAGAGAATTTTGTAAAAGAGCAAATAACAGACAAAAATAATAATAGAATAATGTACATAGATTTAATGACATAGTTATTGAAAGCATTCAATAACTTGCCATTAATGACATAGTTATTGAAAATCAAAATAAATAGAGAATGATTCTGTAATCAACAATCAAAATATTGGTTGATCAATAGAAACACAATAAAATAGAAACAAAGAAAAGGAAAAAGCAAATAAATAAAAATATATGGAGACTCATTAAGGCAATTCATTTGGGTACTTTGGTATTTTTCTTAATTGACTTGGGTTATTTTTAGGCATTTGGATTGCTCTAAAACACACCCGCAAGTATAACTTTATACACTGTCCAACTTATAGCAAATAATTAATCAAACTTATAACTTTATAGCAAAGAATTAATAAAACAAATAAAAATAAAATGAATTTTATTTCGACTATATATAATGTTAGTAATTAGAATTCGCAGAATTTTTTTGACTTATCCTCTATTCTTCAATATCACAGAACGTCTTTTTTTCTTAAGACTTCAATAAAAGATTATTTTGGAAAACAAGGAATAATTCATTATGAATTAAGACCTAAGAAACTTCAGAATTCTAGACTAAATCAATGGAAAAACTGGTTAAAAGGTCATTATCAATACCATTTATCTCAGATTAGATGGTCTAGATTAATAGCAGCAAAATGGAAAAATAGAATCAACCAATGTCGTACAACTCAAAATCAATATTTAAACAAAGAGAATTCATATGAAAAAGACCTATTAATTCATTACAAAAAACAAAATGACTACGAAGTATATTCATTACAAAAAACAAAATGACTACGAAGTATATTCATTACCAAATCAAAATGAGAATTTTCAAAAATACTATAGATATAATCTTTCATCTTATAGATCTATTAATTATGAAAATAAGAGGGACCCATATATTTATGGATCACCATTCTAAGTAAATAAGAATCGAGAGAGTTCTTATAATTACAACACACATAAACATAGGGGCAAATTTTTTGATATACTAGGGGATATCCCTATCAAAAATTATTCAGGAAAAAGTGATATTATGTATATCCCTACCAAGCAAATTACTTTTTTTTAATATAAATGAAAATGGTAGTGAAAATAAAAACATCAATAGAAAGCAAAAGGAGGTTATACCCTCAAATGAAAAAAAAAATTTATACACGTGTTCAAATGAAAAAGAGGTTATCTGTCCAAAAATTTATCTATATGTTCAAATGTTATTTATCTGTACACACGTCACGTACTTTTCTAATTACTTGTCCAAATATCACCTAATTATACACGTGTCACCTATTTGTCCCACCTTACCGTTACCAACCATTGTTTCCAGCTACCGCCATCCGCCAGCCATTGGCAACTTTTTCAACAACTTTAGGAGTGATAAACGAACCAAACAACTTGAGCTCGACTTATGTTCAGCTCATTAAAAACTCGTTCGAGCTCAGTTCGTTAAGTAAATAAGCCAAACTTGAATAGTCAAATGCTTGTTCGGCTCTGTTTGATGAATCTAAAACTACCAAACTACTTCAGGTCGGCTTGAGAAAAACTCATTTGATATCGACTCAAAAATTTAACGAACCAAAGTTGAACAAATTTTAAAATTCACTAAAGTTATCAAAGCAAGTTATAACAATCAACTGTTCAGCTCGTTTATTATCCCTAAAGAGGGTTTAAATAGGACTACAACTATTTGTCTTCTCATTTTACATCCCCTCCATACCTTATTCTCTCTACTACTTACAACACAATTTTGGAAGAAATTATTATATATGTAGAATCACTTGAAAATAAAATAAAATAAACACTCTAAAGGATTCATGCTTCGTCTGTGATGGGTGGCTGTAGGCAAAAATCTCAGTATAGAATTTTCAAACGTCTATCAAAATTAATGAATTTACTTGAACCAGACTCTCTTGTGATGTATTTACCCTAGAGTTCTTTCTTTTCATACATGTACATTTCTCTACTCCCTCAAAATTATGTTTATTTTTGTCGTGGGTGGGAAGCAGAAGTATCAGTTCAGAATTTCCAGACATTTACATGTCATTCAACAAATTTGAGTTCAACCAAAATGAATTCAATCTTTCTCTTGTGACATCATCTCCCTCTAAAAAAAAGACAGTATACCCGCAAGTATCCTACTATCAATTAAAATAAACAAACAAAATAAAAGCACACCTGCCAGTGCCCTGCTATCAATTAAAATAAACAAATAAATAAAAAAGACAGCACAAATAAATAAAATAGCACACCCGCCAGTGCCCTGCTATCAATTAAAATAAACAAATAAATAAAAAAAGACAGCACAAATAAATAAAATAGCACACTCGCCAGTGCCCTGCTATCAATTAAAATAAACAAATAAATAAAAAAAAGACAGCACAAATAATTAACGTAGCACACCCGCCAGTTGTAGACACCCCATTTTTGACCGTCCTCAAGACTTGGACGTCACCGTTTGAACACTCGGTGATCATCCATGTTTGTGTTTGTTTGGAGTTCCCGGAGGTCTCGGCTACGCGCCCTGCCTCAGGATCTCCGAACTTGACCGTTTTGTGTCTGGTTTTGCACCAAACACTTGTGTTTTGCCTTGGAGGGGCAGGGAATGCCTTGAGAGATATCCCCACACACCACCGGCAGTGGCTAGAGGCCACCGGCTGGTTTTTGCTTCCATCGGCACCTTTTTATGCCGGTCGGCACATTTTGTTGTCGGTCGGCACTTGTTTTTGTCAAAATGACATTTTTGGGCAGCCGACCACTGTTCATCTACTTTATGTAGATATTTTGTGTCAGCTGTGATAGCTGGCACCAACTCTGCCTCCCTCCATACACGTGTATAGAGGGATTGCCCTCTAACCAAGCTTGTTGTATAAGCTTTGCAAGAGGGAGTTCTATAAGAGGACAAGCCTCCTCTTTGCTCTAGGTTAGAAATTTTGAAGGCAAAACCAGAGCTTCTAGATATAGATACACCCTATCTCTATATCTCCCTCTCTCTCCTCCTTTGTGTGTGTTTCTTGGCCTAAAAGTGTGATTTTACCTTACTTTTGCACCAATACACACACTATTACACCTTGCTCCGAGATTGAGGACTTTGAGGGTTGATTCCTGAGTTTTTGGGCTGTTTTTTATCAAAAGAAGGAGACTACCTTGGCTGTTCTTGAAGAGTGCTTCAAGGGTGAGCATTTTACTTTAGTTTCCCCAAACTTGCACTAGCTTTTTACCTATTTTACTTGCTGATTTAGTTTTTGTGCATAACATAAAAAAGGCTTGTATTTTCATGCTTAAGAACTTTCATTAAGAGTCTTTCATGGTTTGAGTTCAAACTCACCCTCTTAGGCCTTATTTGGCCCTTTTGTTGCCTCTTTGGTAAGGCTTTGTTTGCTTAAGTGTTTTGGTCTTCTCACCACTGAAAATCAATGGATTTCTAGTGGTGAGGAAGGTGGTTTGAAGTCTTGCATAGGGGAGGGACACCCCTCTCCCTTCATTGTCTTGTTTCCTTGCATTTTGGCTTAAAAGGGTAACATGTGTGCTCGATCATTTTTGGCCTCATTTTAGAAGTTTTTTGGGTGTTTTGGGTCATGTGTGATCTCTGTTTTTGGCCGGATTTGTACCCATTTGCATGCTTAATATACTTGCTTTACATTCCTCCATTTGGCCTAGGATTGTATCTTGTGTTTAGGCCATGATTCTTGCATGTGTTGGCTTGATTCCATGAAGATGTTGGCATTATTTCACCATGTTTAAGGTCTGTTGGCCCTTCATTTCAGTCATACTTGCCTTGTTTGGTGTCATCTCTTTATGTTTTGGCTTGCAAGCTTTGAGCATATTGACCTCTAGCATGCATAACTATGATCATCCTCATGATTTGGCATCATTTAGGACCCCATTTCAGTCCATAAATCATGCTTGTATGCTTGCATTTGTGACCTCTTCC